TGAAGTACCTTCTCTTCTTCTTTGCCCTTGTTTACGCAGTGCGTTTCTCGGAATCTCGATCTTTCGTCATTGACTACAAAAACGACTGTTTCCTGAAGGATGGAGAGCCATTTCGTTACATTTCCGGGAGCCTTCATTATTTTCGAGTTCCTCGTTTTTATTGGAAAGACAGGCTCATGAAAATGAAAGCCGGAGGTTTGAACGCTGTGCAGACTTACGTTGCTTGGAATATCCACGAACCAGTTCAGGGGCAATACAACTTTGAGGGAGATGCAGATGTCGTGAGTTTTATCGAGCTCGCCAACAGCCTTGGGCTTCTAGTGATCGTCAGAGCAGGTCCTTACATTTGTGCTGAGTGGGAGTTTGGCGGCTACCCACCGTGGTTGGTGAAGAACACCTCAATTATCTTAAGATCCATGGACAATCGTCAGTACACGACCTATGTGCAGTCATGGATGGGCGTGCTTCTGCCCAAACTCCAACCTCTGCTGTACGCTAATGGAGGACCAATCATATCAGTTCAAGTTGAGAACGAATATGGTTCTTACTTCGCCTGTGATCATGATTACCTCAAATTTCTTGAGCAGTTATTCCGCCAGTATCTTGGCAACGACATCATTCTTTTTACAGTAGACGGTGATTCTGAGGCTGACTTACAGTGTGGAACTATCCCATCACTTTATGCCACTGTAGACTTTGGAGCAAGCACAGACCCAGCGAAGGCATTTGCAGTTATGCGCAAATTCTCCCCCCATGGACCCCTGGTCAATACCGAGTTTTACCCGGGTTGGTTGGACCGCTGGAGTGTGCCTCACCAAACGCGGCCAGCATCAATGGTAGCTAGTACTCTTGACAAGATCCTTTCTATGAATGCCTCCGTGAACTTTTACATGTATGAAGGTGGCACTAACTTTGGTTTTATGAATGGTGCAGGTTACAACAAATCTGCACACTTTTTATTACCAAGCATAACCAGTTATGACTACGATGCACCTTTGACAGAAGCTGGTGATACCACAACAAAATTTCGCATTCTGAAAGAGACAATTGCCAAGCATGAGAAGTTGCCAGTTATGCCAGTCCCTGCTAACACAACAAAGTTTGCCTATGGTAAAGTTCAAATGTCCCGAATAAGGACCTTTCTTGAGGCTTTGCCAATACTGTATCTTCCCTTTGGTCCTGTGAATGCAACTTTTCCTTTAACAATGGAACAGATTGGACAGAACTATGGCTTCATTGTCTATAGAACAAAGATTCCTGATTCGTTTTACCAGTCTAGTGCCACCTTGAGTGTCAGTGGTTTATTACGTGACAGGGCAATTATCTACGTTGGCCAAGTCCGTCAAGCCACAATGTTTGGTTATCCAGGAAACCAAACGGTACCTCTTGTCATTGGAGACTTTCTACAGCTAGATATTTTAGTGGAGAATATGGGACGACTGAGTGGAGGGACTGCTGATGCTAAGGGAATCCTTGGCAATGTCACCTTAAGTGGAACTATACTACTGGACTGGCAGATCTTTCCTACTAACTTAGAAAATCTGTTCGCAGAAGATTCTTCCTTTTTACCTCTCTCTGATGAACACAAGACAGAATTATCCAATATGGATGACAGCTTTGCCCCTTCCTTTTTCCATGGAGAATTTCTGGTAAATTCTTCTTCTGACACATTTCTTCAGCTGCCAGGATGGAGTAAAGGGCAAGCATTTGTCAATGGCTTTAACTTGGGTCGGTACTGGCCTGTAGTCGGTCCACAGATCACCTTGTTTGTCCCAGCAAATGTGCTGTCCATCAGCCAGAATCCTGCTAGGGTGGTGTTACTTGAACTGGATAGTGCACCTTGTGAATTTCCTGAAAACTGCTATGTTGAGTTTGTGTCGACCCCTTCCATCAATGGGTCTGTACATCCTATAGACGGAAGTCAGATAGAAGCTTGAACAAGCTACAATGTGGAGGCGAGAAACATTAAAGAAAAGGGCAAGATCACTAGCCAAGCTGTGATGTTTTTTTCCCTGTACATACTAAACTGTAGCAGAATGATGCATGAAAATGACATAAGTTATTACTAATTAAGAATTATTACTACATTACAAGCTATAACCTTATAAAAGTAAACTGGAAAAATCTGGTGCATACTTCCTGCTATGAGTTTGACAGCCGGGAAGCATGGAATTTGTATTCAACAAAACTTATAATCCAAGACTAGACGAAGTTAAATTCTGACAACTAGACCCTGATTCCCTGTAGATATATCTTATGTAGGACATTTGGCATCATTTCAGTAGAATCTGAACTAAATTACCTTCAAGTAATGATTTCCAATATTTCTCTACATTTTGAGAATTCTTAAAGTTCCCTCTTTAGTGAAATCATATGCAAACTGAACTGTCATTTGAAACTGTAGCTGAATTTGAGTAAGTTCAAAATAGATTGTGAACACTGTATAATAACACCTTTTGTGGACATTCATTTGGGGTCCTGTATCTTGAAAGCAGATCTTCTTCCCCACTTTTATGGGCATTTTCTGTTGTCCATACAGTTTCCTTATTATGGGGATTTGACTGCAATACCATAGGCTGTGTAAGCAAGTTCTCCCCATATAGAGATAGGAAGAAGACAGATGTTGCATGTGCATCTCTATTGTTATTGTACTTCAAAATTAGATGTCATTGCTCTAGTTTTTAGAACTTTGCTGTGCTTATTGTGGCAGTGCACTGTAGGAATTTGATTTGAAAATGTGCTACTCATTTTGGTCAATGGTTGAAGAGGAGGAGTGTGTTTAATACACGAAATGGCAAAATGATGAAATGGCATTCTGGCTAGCCTAGATAGTGCTCAGGTTAGCCTAAATATCACTGACTTGACAATGGTTAGCTTTCAATAATTATCAGGGTTAACCCTTACAGACACTCACATCCCACATCGACTCTTACCTGTAGAGCCATTTTGTTGTGTGACATTATTTTTGTGTGTTAAGCATACCCCAAGTTGAGGAGATGTGGCTGCCTGATGGCTCTAGTGTATTTGACTTCCAGTTGAGAGAGATCCAGGTTTAAACCTGGCCAGGGTCACTGTATTCTGTTCTTGGGTGACATAGTACTTGGACAGTGCCTCCCTCCACCAAGGAGAGTGAAAATCTTAGGCAGTAACCTGAGATGGATTAGCGACCCATCCAGGGAGAGTAGCTCTACTCCTAGTCACCTAAGTGGAGTTAAACACCAGTGTTGGAGTCATAGCTGGCTCCTCTGACCCTGTGGATTGGATTGACTGAATTATGTTCCACTTAAATGTTTTCCATTGGCTCTATTTCTAATCTAAAGTAGTAGTGTGTTGTTCCAGAAAATATCCATACCCCCACCATGGAAGGGATTTTTTTCCAAGAGCCCCACACCCCTCTGGAAATTTTTATTAAGCTCAATACATTTCTTTAAATGTTTTGGTCTAAGAGAACCCCCCACCCCCCAGGAAATTCCAATCCCTTCTGTGGGGGGAGTATGGATATTTTTTGGAACTGCAAATCAATTTGCTAACTTAAGGAAATGGAAGATTGTTATCCAATGTTTTATTTCATACAAAGTGACAATAGTTATTGTAGAGGTCTTTTTATTTTTTTCAATCTTTACGATAGTTTGTCATCATTGTATGTAGAATGAAAATATGTTGTGAATAAAGAACTTTGTTCTCAGTTGTATTTGTTGTATACATACATCAAATTTGCCAAGCAAATATCTTCACAAAAATGATCAAACTTATCATTCTGTATCCTTAATTAGAGGGAGGTGATGGGTGTATTTGGTTTTTATAGTAATTTACTTTTTGTTATTTGTGAGTTGATCCAGTTTGAGTATCCGCTAGGCTGACATGACAGGTCCTTCAGTTCTTCCCAAAGATTTTTTGTAGTAGAAAAATTTTCAAGGACGCAGTCTTGAATTTTTTCACAAGGAGCCAATCAAATGTGTATGTTGGGATAGGATACCACACTACCCAGCCCTCCCCCACTTCCCTCATCTGCTGGCTGATGGGTGAATAATGAGTGCTCAAAGNGTATTTGTTGTATACGTACATCAAATTTGCCAAGCAAATATCTTCACAAAAATGATCAAACTTATCATTCGGTATCCTTGATTAGAGGGAGGTGATGGGTGTATTTGGTTTTTATTGTATTTTATTTTTTGTTATTAATTTTGTGAGTTGATCCAGTTTGAGTATCCGCTAGGCTGACATGAAAGGTCCTTCAGTTCTTCCCAAAGATTTTTTTCTAGTACAAAAATTTTCAAGGACGCAATCTTGAATTTTTTCACAAGGAGCCAATCAAATGTGTATGTTGGGATAGGATACCACACTACCCAGCCCTCCCCCACTTCGCTCATCTGCTGGCTGACAGGTGAATAATGAGTGCTCAAAGACACATAAAGGCCAAGCAAATTTATAATACAGCCTT